TGACCTCTTTCATGCCCCTCCGCGAGACCTACATAGCAGGGTTTAGTAAACATAGCTTGCACGGCATATTACGGTAAAGCTCATGAAGGTTGTCTTAGCAGGTCCAAAGTCATACGTGGGCAGCCTGGACAACCATCTGGTGCATTCTATCCCCTCGATCTTTACCTTCCAGGGTTTTGAACAACTGTGTTTAAACCCTAATCACCACCGGAATAGCAGCTCAACAAACCTTCATCATCCTGCAAGTACTCCGCTTACTTGCGATGCCATGACGTTATGCTCCTTCCACCTCGCCAGTGGATTACTTTTCCAGCTTTCCGAATCCTCAGCTATTTGGCTTCCTTATCTTCTGAATATACTACCCACCTCGTCAGTGTGTTTGGACAACAATCCTATGCCCCTTGGAGGTTTATCTAATATGCACTCTATTATTGCGTTCCGCCATACCTGTATTTTGGGGAATACCGTGAATCTTTTGTTCCAAATCTTCTAACTTCTACTGGTTTGAACCATTAGATTCAACACCCTCGCACCTCTGGATTGTCACCACTTCCCTTTAAATGCTAGATCCTTTATTTGGTGCAACATACCATGGATACCTTACCCAACTCGCCAGTGTGGGCCGTCGAACAGCACAAAGCATTCAGATGAAGTTCGACTGCTCTCGACCATTCCGGATATCACAGCGGTCCTCTCAATCTGTATCCTCTACTGGTTTGAACAATTGGAATCATTTCCTTTATACGTTTGAAACATCTCCTTCGAAATAGCTTTAGCCCCATGCAAGCAACCTACTTACCTGCTATGGTTGTTTCTCTTGGACCCGCATGCGGAACCCATTTGGTTCATGGGTTATCTGTTTGGACGATTATACGGCGTATTAACTAACCGACCCTCATTACCCAGAGGTCCTTGCTCACCTGCTACCGCATCCTGACAAAACATATTTTCAGCCAACGGAAAAATGATGCGCTACGACTGCGATTGGTTCCGCGGAAAGTCCGTCGTAGGGTTGAGTTGCCAGTCTCTCATTGATCTTCAACTTGTGGTCAACGTCAGTATTCCAGGAAGCGGTGGTTTTCGCCTAGCGAGCCTTCTCCCTATCAAAAGCCACAAATGTCCGTTTAACAACACCGCACCATGGCGGATGTGACTCGCCACCAAAATAAAGTCACTGCCCACTGTTAACCATTGGCAATGATCCAGCTAAGCGAATGTTGTGCGCACAACAACAAACGAACAATCCTTACCTTCTCCTCCAACGGAGTCTAATAAACATTTTACCAATTCTAACGCACACTGAATATGGGAAGCAACCACAAGCGCTATCTGCATCTCTGGTCCAGTATTTCAATAACGAAAACTTATAGATTTTACCGTGCTTCCGCGTTACTTTTCTAACTGACTCCATTGAAAATGTCCATCATGTCATTTACGCACCATTATTCGCACCACGTATTTTGCAAACACATACCTCCGTGGTTTGGTGTATATACGCTTATTTTTGTGCGACTTTGACAAACACTTGATCCCGCCTGTACTGGTGTGCCCCGTTCATTCAAGAATGAACTAGTAATTATTATAGCTGTTGTGCCTAGCTGATCATAATTTCAACGGTTTGCTTCGCTCGCCCGAAAATAAACATTTTTTATTTATTTACTTTCATTACTCGATGACCACACCCTTTGTAGTTATTTGACAGCGTTTACCTTGATGTTGACTTAGCGACAACATGTTGGGTGCCATCAGTTATAGTAGAAAACGCTATTCCTTTCAAGTGTGTGCTTTGGCCTCTAGCCCGCTTAATGTCTGGAGCTTGGGGACTCCGTGAACAAGGATAGATGCTTCGTCTTGTTTTTACGCAAGTCATCCGGATTTTTCTTGCTTTGCTGGCGGTTGCTCCACGGAATAACTGGAAAAATTTGAACAGCGCACTTTGTGGTACGGATGTGAGTGGCTGACAAGAGAACTGCCTCTGTATTATTACCGGACGGAAGCGTTACTTACAGTAACAGCGGCGCACCTTAGTGTACGGAGGTTGGGTGACGGACGGGGCGCGTCGTACTGACTAGTTTAGCTTGAAACAGGGATTCCCGCTGGCGTTTGTTCTCTGGTGGAATCTTTACTGGATTTCGCCGCGGATTCAGTCACATTAGAGCAAACAACCATAAGAGTATTATGGTGTGGTTTCGTGTCCTCCTATTTGGAAGGACCAGTGGCAGCTTTCTTCTGTTGGACAGCTGCTAGGGTTGTGAGCCCCATGGTGAAGTTGGTAGTAGTACCTCTTTTGGCAGCAGGCGGGTTTACGACATATGGTGGTTCCCTTATATAGGTAGCAGCAGCGGACTCGTAAATAACCGGTCATGTAACAGTGTTCAATGTGGCGAGTGGTTCTGGTGCACAACGTGTGGCGAACGCATATTTATGAGCAGCCGGTAGCGTCGGGGTGGCTAACTATGGATTGTTACTCTCACGCACTTCTGAATTGGAGCTTGCTGTTAAGCATCGCGTTCAACACACTGCTTTTTCTGGTTCATGAGAGAGTTCTTTCATGGTTGTCAGCCTATCGAACTTCTACACAACACGGTTATACATCTGACCAGTGAAACTGATGCAGCCTGAGTGCAGAACCAGAGGGAATCTGTCTTACTCTCAATCTTTTTATCTGGCTGAGACTAAGGAGAGCATATCGGAAATGACAGTATTTTCGGCAGGTTTACATTCTATTCCAAATCGTACAAGGTTATGGTGGCTCTTTCCTGGCCAGAACATTAGCTGACGTGCCCTGGCCACTCAACTGCTGGTACCTAAATGAGCAAAGTGGACGAGCCCGAGAGCTGAAAGCTGCAATGCCTTAGGGATTGACCTTCTGGTGCCCTTTAATATCAATGCCACCTAGGCGGTGAGTTCGTTGCGAAAATGGAAAGGCGTGGTCAGCTCTCTGGGCAGCATTTTCTTGTTCTCTGGCCAGCCGTTTAGTATCGTCTGTTTCAGTAGCCTGCATAGCTTGTCCAGATCCGTGCTCTGTTGGAGCTGCTTCAGTCGACCCTTAGTGGGAGCAATGAGTTGTGTTCAGCAAACGAAACCTGAATCTTCCTCTTCATTGGACGTGTCTCGTAGTGGGCTTGGCTAGCTGAACGACCTTCTCGTGGTGTCAGCTGGATGGTTCAGAAAATAGTTCAGCGGCAGTGTTAAAGGCCTTGGTGGGTTTTCGCCTGGCAGGCGTTTCCTCTATAAATAGCTACAACTATCCGCCTAACAACATTGTGACGTGGCGGTTGTGACACACCGCTGCTAATGTCACCCCTTGCTTATCTAGCCAACGGCTTTAGGTCCACAAACCTCAAGCATCTTTCGAGCGCTGACGACACAATAATAAGCGCAGGAAAGCATTTGCAAATCCCATAAACACGGATACACACCTGAACTTGCCCACCTACTTACATTCATATACCAACAAAAGTGCCAACCTTATTGTTCCATCCTACATTAACTGAGCACACTTTGTGCCCTTACCATGATCACGCCCGTGCAGGCCTGCCTCGTGTAGTTAAGAATTAACTTTATATTTATTTATTCACAAAATCCTGGTAATACTTAGGGAAACGTATGGGCATCCTCTGCAAGCCGCGGGGAACAACTTGGAATGGTTTATTGACGATAGAAACCAACGGCTGTGGACGGTAAAGGCGGACCTCGCGGCCGAATATATTGGCACTGAAACGCTTTGCGGAGTACACAAACGCGAGCAATACATTTCTATTTCAGCATAAAGACGCGCGACCTCCCACAACATTCTACTGCGAAGACCAGTGGGCTTGCTGCTCTGCACGAGTACTGTCCCAACACCGTAAATAAATAAATAAATAGTGTATTCTCGAATTTTTCGCAATGGATATCGAGTGGGTGGGTTAGGTCCTAATAGGCGAGAATAAGTACGTTATTCATTAGCTCCTTGAGTGTCTAGAAAGTTCCATCTTACCCTACGCACCAAAGCCAGTGTGCATCAGTGTGAGTCAACTTCCTGCTCGGTGTCATCACATCAGCTAATAAGGGTAGGAATCGACACATCTAGTTGATCACCGCATATAGAGCCAACAGCTTTAATAGCTGTGGGGCATCTCATTTATAGCTCTGACTTCCCAGGGCCCGGTTTCAGTTCTAGCACTGCGTACGTGCCCACAGAACGCCACTATAAATAAATAAATGAATAAATAAATAGTATATTCTCTGTAAAACGAGACACACCTCTAAAAGGCATGATCAAATATGCATACAAGCACAGCTTCTTTGGAATATTAAAACATTTCGTTACAATGAAAGGAATAAACGAAAAGATGTAGTCCATAAGAGCGAGCATATTGTCAGGTAATAGTCAGACCAAGGATCATAATGGCGCCGTGGCGCGCAAAAACTGTTGCGTCAAGATACAAGTGGGGGGTAAATTTGACATGTAGTGATCCATGAGCACAGGAGCCCGAACAAGGTTTAGTGCAATCAATGACCATTACGAAGCCGGGATGATCGGTACTCCACTAAAGCATTCTTCATAGTAAAATCAGTTGCACAGGTTCGATGTTGGAGGCTGAGGACTGCGTCAGTGTGAAAGGTATAGCAGTGACTTTATTTTGTGGCGAGTCACATCCGCCACGTTGCAGTGTTGTTAAGCGGACATTTGTGGCTTTTTATAGGGAGAACGCTTGCCAGGCGAAAACCCACCACGTCCTGGAACACTGTCGTAGCTTCCGTTGAACTGTAGTGCTAGTCGGCTATACATCGTATAGACCGATTTTGCACTCTATTATTCGCAGTCGGTTGACAGCCAAAATTTTTCGTTGGTTGGCCAAATGGCTTAGTACTGAACCGGCAATAGTCGTTGAAGCCAGTCAATGATGTAAAAGAGTCGCTGAGTCGAATGATAATGATGCGGGTGAGTAACCACATTGTTAATAGAGGCCGGCTTTTTCTATTATATTGTCCGGCTCGCAACCCGTGTCCAGCTATCCATGCTGGACTTGTCATAGGGACGGTGAGTGCAGTTGTTTCTTGTGTCTGAATATGTCCAAAACAGGAATAAATGCTATTCTCCGCGAAGTGGACAAGTATTTCCTTCAAATGTAAGTGTAATTGTCTCCATAACCAAGTGAGAGCTCCAGGAAAAATCATCGGAAAAGCCGCTTATGCGCGCGCAGTGCTGTCCGTGAAATGACATCAGAAAAGCTCCAGGTGACTGGAGAATCGGAATGTTTGAGGCAGTGAATGTAATCACGCCAGAATTGTCAGTCTCCGGTTGTGGAACAGTGGATCCATGTAACTACATTATTCCAGGTGAGTAAATTGTTCTACTGTGAGTACGAGGCGAGCTAAACCCATTTGTTTAGACCCCGTGGTGGTAGCTTCTCCAGAATGGCGGAAAGAGCTCCATTTGGAACGATGTGTGGGTTCTTCATCTCCCGGAGTAAAGAACAAGCATGTAAACCAGCTGGCTATTGAAAGTGGGTCGACTATTCCCAGTGGATAAACCTTCTTGTTTTGGCGGATGTATCTGTGGAAATCTCGAGAGAAAACGGGCAACGGACAAGAGGCAGCCAAACAGAAAGACAGCAACGAAGCAAGAAGCACAAACACAGACTGGTGGCGCGCAACGGTGCCTATGATACATTAAAATTTATGTAATTTTGTTTAGTATACATGATTTGCAAGCGCGTTCTTTACATCACGTCGCTGGTGTGCCTCAGACTACAACTACTAGGTAGAAAGAAGGGTATAACAAAGCGTGTAGACAACGTTAAGCGATTAATATGATTATTGGAGAGTAACAGGTAAACCGATGATGATGACAGCAGACCGAATGCGAGCGGCATCTTAGGTGAAACTAAGGACAACAAGGTTGAGACCGAATGCGGGAGCAACATAGGGTAAAGCAACGTTCCAAGAAGAAAAGGAAATTTAAGGAATCAGCTATGAGCGGAAGAATGCGGACGGCAGTGCGAAGAGTAACTCATGAGAGCAATTAAGAGACGATAGTCAGGATGAAAAAGGTTTACTACTAAAGTGTGGTGAGCCAAGGACGCTCTCGTGCGAAGTATGAAACGTTCAGTGCTGAAATAGCACCGGTAATATCCCGGTAATCTGAGAGAACTCTAAAAGCCGGAGACCAAACAGACGAGACTCGAGAAGTCGACACATCCGGAGGCCTCGTAGTAGTCCCAGAGAATTACACTGATCAGATGATGACAAAGAAGGGCATGGCACTAAGCGTCGGTCATCCGATTGAAGATGTGAGAGTACAGGTTACTGATGGAAGTGCCTATATTAATAAAGGGTAAACAAGTCTAGCGTGCTGTCAATGTAAGCAAGACATAGTTGTGAGTCTAGAGAGATTAGCTCGGTATATCTTGCTAGTCTGGAAAAGGTCAAAGGAGCATACCGGTCAGATGAGACTAGGTTATTACAAGGCACTAAGAGTTGGCAGTCCGATTAGAGAAGAAATGATAGTAGAGGGGCCATAAGGAGAGGAGACGGTCCGGATAGAGAGAGGTTTACTTATAAGGTGTGGAAAAGTCCATGGGGCTCGAGAGGTAATGGGGACAGAGCGTTCGCACTTCTCATTCAATGCCGGTAACGTCACAGCAGTCTGAATGAATTCGGAGAGCAGGGGACCGATCAGACGAGACTGGATTAGTCGGCACACTTAGAGTAAGTAGTACAGTTGAGGTGGGAAGGTAAATAAAGAGTCAGCGGAGACGGATGGGTTGGGATGCAAGAGGCTAAATGAATATAAGGTATGCAAGTCAGGCAGGCTCGCAATGGGAGAGAAGTTGTGTGATGGTGATACAGAGCCTAAAACTACATTTCGCTAGTTAGGAAGCAGTCAAAGAGGATAATAGGGCAGGGCTCTGAGAGCTCGCTATGCGGATGAAGAAGAAATGAAGACAGGCCGCGATAAGGAGAGGACGGAGTTGAGAGTTTACGTTTACGGATATGAAATGCGACAGTTAACGAGGCTCTAGAGGTAATGGTGACAGAGCATTCAGTCTTCCGAGCATAGCAGGCAGCGTCGCAGAAGTAGGAGAGAAGAGGACCGATCTGCCAAGGTTGGACTTGGTCGGCGCATTGTGATTGAGTCCTATGGTTCATTTGGGAAGGTAAGTGGAGTCAGTCGGATCGGACTGGTCAGAGATAAAAGTGGTTATATCAACATAGGGCGGACAAGTTCAGCAGGATATCAAGGTGAGGGAGGAAGTGCTTTGGATCGACGGAGCCTAGACCGCTAACATCCCGGTAGCCTGGTAGCAGTCCCATAGAATTTGGCTGATCAGCTGAGGCTGAGTTACGGATGACAGAGACTCACTCGTCCGATTGAAGAATGATTGGATACGAACGGCGCTCAGTCATCTGAACGATGGCTAGTAATGTCACAGGAGTCTGAGAGAAGTTGGAAAGCAGGAGACCAAACAGACGAGACAGGATTAGTCGGCGAAACGACATTGAGTCCAACAGCTAATTTTAGGAGGGCAGATGGAGTGGGTCGAGAGGTGGAGGTGACTATATAAATAGAGGGTGAACAAGTCTAGCAGGCTGTCAACGTAAGTGCGATATAGCTTGAGTCTACAGAGTCTAGACCGTTTAAATGTTGCTGGTCTGGAAAGGGTCAAAGAAGCAGACCGGTCAGATGAGACTAGGTTATTACAGGGCACATAGTTGGCAGTCCGATTAGAGAAGGTTTGAAAGTAGAGAACGTCATAAGGAGACGGTCCGGATAGGGAGAGGTTTACTTATAAGGTGTGGAAAAGTCCATGGGGCTCGAGAGGTAATGGGGACAGAGCGTTCGCACTTCTCATTCAATGCCGGTAACGTCACAGCAGTCTGAATGAATTCGGAGAGCAGGGGACCGATCAGACGAGACTGGATTAGTCGGCACACTTAGAGTAAGTAGTACAGTTGAGGTGGGAGGGTAAATAAAGAGTCAGCGGAGACGGATGGGTTGGGATGCAAGAGGCTAAATGAATATAAGGTATGCAAGTCAGGCAGGCTCGCAATGGGAGAGAAGTTGTGTGATGGTGATACAGAGCCTAAAACTACATTTCGCTAGTTAGGAAGCAGTCAAAGAGGATAATAGGGCAGGGCTCTGAGAGCTCGCTATGCGGATGAAGAAGAAATGAAGACAGGCCGCGATAAGGAGAGGACGGAGTTGAGAGTTTACGTTTACGGATATGAAATGCGACAGTTAACGAGGCCCTAGAGGTAATGGTGACAGAGCATTCAGTCTTCCGAGCATAGCAGGCAGCGTCGCAGAAGTAGGAGAGAAGAGGACCGATCTGCCAAGGTTGGACTTGGTCGGCGCATTGTGATTGAGTCCTATGGTTCATTTGGGAAGGTAAGTGGAGTCAGTCGGATCGGACTGGTCAGAGATAAAAGTGGTTATATCAACATAGGGCGGACAAGTTCAGCAGGATATCAAGGTGAGGGAGGAAGTGCTTTGGATCGACGGAGCCTAGACCGCTAACATCCCGGTAGCCTGGTAGCAGTCCCATAGAATTTGGCTGATCAGCTGAGGCTGAGTTACGGATGACAGAGACTCACTCGTCCGATTGAAGAATGATTGGATACGAACGGCGCTCAGTCATCTGAACGATGGCTAGTAATGTCACAGGAGTCTGAGAGAAGTTGGAAAGCAGGAGACCAAACAGACGAGACAGGATTAGTCGGCGAAACGACATTGAGTCCAACAGCTAATTTTAGGAGGGCAGATGGAGTGGGTCGAGAGGTGGAGGTGACTATATAAATAGAGGGTGAACAAGTCTAGCAGGCTGTCAACGTAAGTGCGATATAGCTTGAGTCTACAGAGTCTAGACCGTTTAAATGTTGCTGGTCTGGAAAGGGTCAAAGAAGCAGACCGGTCAGATGAGACTAGGTTATTACAGGGCACATAGTTGGCAGTCCGATTAGAGAAGGTTTGAAAGTAGAGAACGTCATAAGGAGACGGTCCGGATAGGGAGAGGTTTACTTATAAGGTGTGGAAAAGTCCATGGGGCTCGAGAGGTAATGGGGACAGAGCGTTCGCACTTCTCATTCAATGCCGGTAACGTCACAGCAGTCTGAATGAATTCGGAGAGCAGAGGACCGATCAGACGAGACTGGATTAGTCGGCACACTTAGAGTAAGTAGTACAGTTGAGGTGGGAAGGTAAATAAAGAGTCAGCAGAGACGGATGGGTTGGGATGCAAGAGGCTAAATGAATATAAGGTATGCAAGTCAGGCAGGCTCGCAATGGGAGAGAAGTTGTGTGATGGTGATACAGAGCCTGAAACTACATTTCGCTAGTTAGGAAGCAGTCAAAGAGGATAATAGGGCAGGGCTCTGAGAGCTCGCTATGCGGATGAAGAAGAAATAGACAGGCCGCGGTAAGGAGAGGACAGAGTTGAGAGTTTACGTTTACGGATATGAAATGCGACAGTTAACGAGGCTCTAGAGGTAATGGTGACAGAGCATTCAGTCTCCCGAGCATAACAGGCAGCGTCGCAGAAGTAGGAGAGAAGAGGACCGATCTGCCAAGGTTGGACTTGGTCGGCGCATTGTGATTGAGCCCTATGGTTCATTTGGGAAGGTAAGTGGAGTCAGTAGGATCGGACTGGTCAGAGATAAAAGTGGTTATATCAACATAGGGCGGACAAGTTCAGCAGGATATCAACGTGAGGGAGGAAGTACTTTGGATCGACGGAGCCTAGACCGCTAACATCCCGGTAGCCTGGTAGCAGTCCCATAGAATTTGGCTGATCAGCTGAGGCTGAGTTACGGATGACAGAGACTCAATCGTCCGACTGAAGAATGATTGGATACGAACGGGGCTGTCATCTGAACGAGGGCTAGTAATGTCACAGGAGTCTGAGAGAAGTTAAAAAGCAGGAGACCAAACGGACGAAACAGGATTAGTCGGCGAAACGATATTGAGTCCAACAGCTAATATTAGGAGGGCAGATGGAGTGGGTCGAGAGGTGGAGGTGACTATATAAATAGAGGGTGAACAAGTCTAGCAGGCTGTCGCATAACGCGGTCCGATTCTCTCTAGCTTCCGTTTGATAGTTCTTTCAGTGCACTGTTGTAACAGCGTTTGAGGTTCCGTTCGTGCTTTGCTCGTGTACTGCCGAACAGAAATACATCGTTTGCTACACAGAATGTTCTCTGTAAATCGTCTAAAGCTTGCGTTATCCGCCGCAAGCATTTTATGTAAAATCTTCAGCTCACGGTTTAAAGGATCGCAGAATTTAGAAATAAGTTCAACCTTTCAGGCTCCGCAAGTACCCTGTAGCCAGTCGCTCTCCTCTGTACAGTTTGACATAAATAGCGTCCGTTCTGCAAGTTCAACTACCAAGTCATCCTGGAACCCTGATCC